GTGTGATGAAATGGTGATAGCAATTATTTCATGTTTAATTTTTATTCTGTTATATGATGTAAACATCTTCATTTTCATCATTTTGAATTAAAAGCTGATTAAGATAGTTTTAGCTGATAGACTAGTTGACATTTCCTTCTTCCAGCTACATGCGAGGATTTTCTACCTTATTGTGTAATATAAATATCCTAATTATGTCATCTTGGGCTTTTTAAAAGATCTTAATAGGCATTTGTTACTACTTTTTACTATTACATTTTATACAGCCAATAATTAATTGATTAATTCATAAAACAATCTGCAGATAATGGACAGATAATTGTTAGTTGCAGCCATAATACCCTTGCAAACACTGCAGTTAAAGAAGGCGTTAAGAGAAAGTCTTAAGAGAAAAGTCATATTTTTGTGATATTTTATTCATCTGCCACTGATGTAAAACTAGGCAGATCTTACAGTAAAATGAGGTTAATAGACTAACAGCCTGATTCTCAGTCAGGCAAATGATGGCAGACAGCACTGGCTTTCTTATCCAACGTAATTCACCTGCCTCGTGGCTGGCAAATCATCTTCTGTGCTGAAGCCCTATGAGCTGAGATCCTTTAATCATCCACTAATAGGCCTTTATGAAAAAGCTGAAGATGAATTCAGCCTACCTGGCTTTCTGTTATCATTATCACTGCGATGAGTTATCAAAGTATTTGTGTGTGTCTGTAGTGTGTAAGTGTGTGTGTGTTTGTCTGTCTGTCTGTGTAACAGTGTAGATAATGAAGGGGACCATTTCAGTTCGATGAGTGCGGTTATTATCAACACCACCAGTCTAGGTGATTTCTGTTCAATGTTAAATTGAGCTGTAATGACAGATGTGCTCTTGCATTATGTGCCACAGACTTTAACATGACTTGAGGGCATCCAGAAATACCAAAGTCACTTAGTGTCATGGACTGCAGTAAACCTATTTTCTTACCATGATAGTCATTCCAACAAGTGTCATTTACAGGAATTACTTCAAAAAAAAAAAAGAACAGCAATCAAAATGAGGCCTCTTTTAAACTGAAAGATTTGGTCTTTAAACTAAAAACTGGAAATATATGATTGTAACAATCGTGCTGATGAAGCGTCCACCAGGCTTGATTCTGTTGCTGTTGACCAGATGGATGTGTTTACTGTCAACAAAACCTTGTTAGATAGCTACCCACACACGCTGTAACACTGTTTGTGTGTTGGTGTGTCTGGAAATGTCTATAAGAGCCTGCTTCCTTGTGTCTGTGTGCATGTATGTTAAGAGACTTGAAGTTTGTATGAACAAGTTGTAACTGACACTGTTAAGGCTGAAAACTCTTCTACAGAGTCAAGAGTTTGAGAAAAAGTGTATATTAGCGTGAATAAAAGTTGTCAAATCTGTGTGTGTTTGCTTGCTGTAGTATGATATACTGTACGTAGCAGGGTGGTGTCTGTTTTGGTGAGCCGCTTAGATTAGGCTCAGACTGTAAGAGCACAGAAGGCCTTAGAGACAATGCATGAGAGATGGGCGTGAGAACGCGGGTAAGGCTTGGTTCTCTGCAAGAACTGTCTTGTGTTTGGGGAAAATATCCTCACTCTCAAAGCTCCAGTGTCTAGATCCATTTCTAACAAACAGGTTTTGCAAGAAAGGGCTTGGGGAAAAAGAGACTTTTTGTGTGCGTGAATATCTTTCTGTGTGTGTATGTGGCCACAGCTGTGTTACGACGTCACTGTGTTTTCGATTTGATGTGTCTGAAAACCCCAAATACTAAGTTGTGTAACTGTAACTTTGATATCCAGGTAGTTTTCAAGGCTTCATCCTCTTCAGGCTCTCAAATGGAAAACATCCAGAATCATCACAATACTGCATTTAGTTCTAACCATTTTATTATCATATAAATCAAAGCACGCTGGAAAAACATTTTATTCCTCTGACTCAGATTGTATTTTCAACCTGAACCACAGTGATCTTTTGTTTTTGCTTTTTCTCCAGGTGTTACAGCAGTTATGTCAAAGAGCTGAAGATATCTCTAACAGTGAGTACACAGTACACTAAAGAGCATTCTCATCTCCTCTTTTCCCCTCTTTGCCCCTGGTATATATGTTTGTGTGCTACAAAATAGTTGATGCGTGCCTTTTTAAAATATATATTGTTACCCACTTCTGCTTTTTTTTTATGGCACGCCAGAACAAACTTGCAGACTCCTCCAGTTTCAGGCCTAATTTGATTTTCATTCATTCAGTGAAAGAGGATGTTTTTTTTCTCCCCCAATTAAATTTAACAAGAGCCCCTTGAAAAGCAGTTGTTATGATTACATTACAAATTCGGGGTTCATTCAGTGAATCAAGCAATTAATTAGATTTCTCCCATTCTAATCAGAATATTTGTCTGAAACGTACGCGCCTAATAAACATCCTTTGAGTTTGCTATCTGTTCAGAGCCAACGCTGAATGTAAATGGTTGTTAACTGTGCCCTACAGTGCTTCTAAGTTAGGATCTTGTTGCATTGTTGAGTTTCTGTGTGTTGCTATGTGCAGCTTCAATCCCCCTACTCTCTTCGTCCCTTCCTTCCTTTCTTTCTTTCATTTTCTCTGTTTTCTCACTGTCTCTGTGTGAGAGCTAGCTGTACTCAGGGGCGCGGCTGCGTCCTCAAGGCTTCACTTCACACACACCAAGGTGGCAGTTTGTTGTTCCACACAGACAATGACTTGCACTTTTCTCTCTTGCCTGACTTGATGGCCTTGTGCCTGCGAGTGTGTCACCAGATGAAATGGGATCTTTTATAAGAAGGCTTTTACTGAATGCAGAGCTCAGGGAAATACCTGTTTTGCTTGTCACTGGCTCTTTGGCCTTGTGTGTTACCAGACCTGATTCTATCAGGTCTAACCGTTACTACTTCATCTCTGGCTGTGAATGGTACATTATATCCCCTGCAGGTTGATGCGAGCTGGTTGTATCATTTATGATAAGTATTGATGAGTTCTCTCTTGGGGAATCAATTTCTAGGGGGTGTTGCCGCTGGCTGTTCCTAACTGGTGTCTTGGTTGCCTGACTTTTCCTGCAGTCCCATAGAGAGCAAACACAGCAGAGCACAGGGAAAGATGGAGCTCATCCAAACAGCTATGGTGTAATTAGCTGACATTTGTTGCTTGGAAGACAAGAGAAGGAAAAAGGAAAGAGCTGCTCAACTCAAACACCCAAAGGAATATGCAAATGTTGAGAGTGAGAGAAAGAAAGACAGAGAAATGTTTCTAATGGCACGTAGATATAATTATATTATATTCACGGATGTGTGTGTGTGTGTGTGTGTGTGTGTGTGTAATTGTGTGTGTTATGAACCCATTGAACTTTATGTGAGTGTTTTTGTCAGAGTTTTGCCACTACAACACGAACCATTGGTTTCCATAAAGGACTATATATTAGGATAAGAATGACTAACCAGGATGCTTTCTCTGTTAAGAGATGATACCTTTGTCTGCTGTTTGGCGTTCTTGTTTTGTAGAGCATGTCTTAAGGTATTCAACCACATCAGATCAGCATTACACAACTGAGCTACACAGTACCCACATAAGGCAGCCATCCACAACCGGGCTGATTCTCCGGTTCCAGGAAGGTTGTGCATTTGCATGTGTGTGTTCACGTGTGCTTATGTGCATACATTTAGGTGAAAGCGCTGTAATGCATGTGGACTATCTGTACTTAAGCCAAGGTGCTGCGTGAAGGAGCAGCAATGCTTACGCAGCCCCATCTGCTTGATCCAAGCTTTAAATGCAATGCCTTTTAATGACAAAATACTGAGTGACTGGGAGGTGTGCAGAAAAGAGCGCGTGTGTGTGTGTGAGTGAGTGAGGGTGTGTGTGTGTGTGTTGTATGAGTGTGTAAGTGGAGGGTGTTAAGGTTTATATGCAATGAAGGAAATGATGTATGCTGAAATTCATGTTTTCTCATATACCTGTGCATCTTTTGTCTGCTTTCTGTTGCTGAAGTCTCGGAGGGGAGTCGGAGCAGTACAGCATGTACCCCAGCAACAGGGTAAAGC